GAAAAAAAAATCTTCTCTTGCCATAATTGGGGCGAGAGGTAGTGTCAGACTCTTACTGACTAACTAAAAGTTTCGTTTCTTTTTAACAATAATATGACGTGAGATCAATGACGTATTATATATAGACACGTCATGAACCAACATCGCGGCGCTTAAAAACGGCGAAAATACTAGATAACTACTTCTACGAGTAAAGAAAGGGAAAGAAAATATGACATCGTATAGTGGAATGCCTTTGCTAGAGGGAGATATATATACATCTTCAGTTATGCCGACGGCACGTGACTATACCTTCATGCGCCGGCCGCCACAAGATGGCGGGCGCCGGCGTCGAAAAAAATAAAATAAAAATATGTTGTTTGGTGAACTTACGCATGAAATGACACATTTTTGTCTTTAACTTTTGGAGTATAATTTGTACATCGTCTGAACACACACAACGACATGCTTTCTTTATGTTTCGCACAGGTTTACACACACGATATAAATTAAAAACAAACGTCGCGTCGCGCGGCAGGTTGGTGCGTAACTAAGCGCGATGTTGTCAATTGCCTTCATTTCATGTTGTCATTTTAGAGCGCGGACAACGTATCTATAGTTTTATACATCATTGCGTGAGATGGTGTAATGTTTTACAATAAGTAGCAAAATATCTGTCGTCATAATTTCTATGTAAACAGTGACCCCTTTCGTCTCATACGTCATGGGGTAACTTTGCGTTGGTTGGGAAGTAAACAAATAAATCTATGTTTCATAAAAATATTTGTTCCGTTGCAGGGAATCGATTTCGTGACCGTGAACATTAGAAACAGCTGCATGGTACCTGCTGAACCATTTAGATAAAAGATTATTTTTATTAGTTCAGTATTGCCTTTGATGTAATTATTGATTATTGATATTGATATTGATGTATATAGATAAGACTGAGCGGTTGACATAGAGGATGAGTGACCGGCTACTTTATGTATCTACTCAGTCATAGATTTGAACAGACCCGCGTCCACTTAAATCCATGTCTTTTTCAAAGTCCAAGTCAAATAAAGGCACTTTTGTAAATATTAAATAGTTTGTGTTTCAATCCGTCGGTCTGTGATCTAGTGAATCTATTTGCTCATTCCAAAATTTAGACCAATGTAGAAGAACGAGCAAGAAACTCAATGGTTACCTACTCTTTTTCAATCAATTTCAATACTTCAATTTTAATATAAAAGAAATCGTTTAAAATAAAATACACACAAATTAAAAAAATAGTTTATTAGCTAATATCGATTTAGGCATAATGTAGCTAGGTAACCTGGTTGTAAACATTAAATAGTTATAATTATATCTATAACATGCCAAGAATAACTGTGTACGAAGAAATTGTAGATACCTACAGTAAAATACATAAGAATACTGTTTTTACCAAATAGTTTTTAGAAATTCGTACCAAAAAGTAATCAACTACTGCCATTGCCATTGATGAATAATTTAATAAAAAAAGATGGCGGATCTAAAATTAAGTCAATGACACCCAGTTTTTTAGTTCATTCTGCCTAACAATAGACTGATAACTTTTTATCTTTCATATGGCGCTGGCGCGATAAAATTATTCTTAGTTCTCACCGTTACTGAATTTTGAAGTTTCGCACTCCCGTTCGTATCCAGTAACGATATAATTTATTTTGACTTTTTTAGTACTTTAACGAAAAAACATGCTGTGTTTTTCCTTCTTGATATTCAACCTCGCACTTTTCAAGATCCAATACCTATTCCAAACACAAGGCAACTACTCCAAATAATCAGGATATCCCTCGACTGTCTTCCGGCTCCAACATCAGGTTGATTTCAACATTTGTCAAGTTGTAGTGTTGTAAAAAGCCTACTAAAACAACATACAAAAGCACTACTCACCACAATTTTAAAGTTCCCCTTGAATTCTCTGGTATTCTATCATCAAATCCTGATTCCCTTAACATGGGACCATTCAAAATCTGTTTATAAATAATGGAGATATCGGCGAACAAAGATAAAAAAGCATATAGTGATAATATTACGGTCAAATTGAGAACCTACACCTCCTTTTTGGAAATAGGTTAATACCCCTACTAGCCGAAAGATGTCAGCTGGGCGACGACGACGTGCATGCTACTCATGAATAAGAGTCCCGTTGCGCTTTGAAACTAGTAGAGGATTTTTCAGTTAAGTTACGTAAGTCGTTATTTTCAATTTCAGTATGTCTCACGACAGTAACTATTCTAAAATGTTTGATAAAAATGCCACAGAACAAATAAGTAAATAAGTATTGGTTTCAAATTACTAGATAAAAATATTGATACCTACCTACTTACTAACGAAGAAAAATAAACCAACTAATAAAGTTCAACGGATGATAAGCGATTACAAAATTAAGTAAAATTGTAAAGCAACGACACTTTACGAAAAAATTCCATTATCTACTTGCTTATTTTTTGTATTTATTGTATTCTACAATAATAATTACAGTACGGTCAAAAATAAGAAAATCTAGTACAAAATATATTTGGGACATTAAGGAGTAGGTAGGTATTATTGGGGTTGTTGTAAGCGTAACCCTCTGTTGTGGCTACTGCTCGAAGAAGGTAAAGAAACGGGATGGTTTTCAGCCAGTCTTTAGTGTGACATTTAGTCTCCACACCCAGCGCGGGAAAATTCATGACTGACTTAGATAAAAAAGAGATTACGTGTGCTTTTAGATGGGAAGGAGATTTCAATGGAATCGTAAAAAAAATATAACAGAAATACCAAGCGGCCGTAACAAATGCATTTAGGACAACTTCATGAGTACCTAGGTAAGCAAGTACCTAGGTACTTAATTTGGTTTTCCAGATGAGTCTCGGGTTCCGGGGTTGTTAAATTTAATTTTGTGAAAAATATCTATCAAATAACATTTTTGTCCCGTGTTAAAAAAAAACATTTTTTTTCGTAGCAAAATTTAAAAAGGGGCGTAGAGAGTCTAGGAATTATGTTTTACTTTATTTAAACCACCTCATCTGGGGGACTTCAAAATATTTAGACCTGCTCCGAAGCGTAGTTAGTATTCACTGTTTACTTTTAAATTACTTAGTACCTAAATTCTAGATAACCACATCAATAATAACAAAAATAACATGTTTTCATTACATACCTACTAAAGCCAATAAAACAAATATTTTTGCGAAAACATATTTATTATTTATGTACAATTTATCTAATATGTATTACGCTCATGACGTCTTATGAGAGTAGTTGCACGTAAAGCTACCCTTATCTGTCGAAATTCTTTAATAGAATGTCAACCTTATATTAAGAGGCTTATGATTGAAAGTTAATTGGAGTGGTAAGACCGATTGGTGTAGGTTAACCTGCTGTTGTCCGAGGGGGTCTCAGAGGTCGCTTGATATCGTATTGCGTCAAGAAACTCGAGTAGCTACGTGGACGTGGCACATCTCTCATAACTTTTGCTTGGCATTTTGTTACGCGAACTGTTGTATCTGTGTACCTATTGATAAAGGATTGTAGGTTGTACAAAACTGTAGTATCTACTTTCCAGTCACGGGACCACAAGGTCCCGGAATTTTGGAAGGCGTACGAGGGGCCGCAGGCAACTCGCAGATGCCCTTTGAACAACTTTAATATAAGTGAAATGGGACATCAGCCGGCAATTATCCCTGTATGCACTATAAAAGTGCACCCAAGGACAATCCCCGGTTGATGCAGGACTATTGTAAAATGTGGTAACAATTGATAGGGTTATGGGTATGGGTTGCTATGCACTAGTGGATGAAAACTATGGAAATACTATGGCCCCTGCCCCTGACCAATATTGATACATACGGATAAACAGGCAGGGGGTGACTGGCAAACTCAATTAATGGGCCCCCGGAAACGGCCGCTAGCATGTAGCGACACGGGGGCAACATACGTTGAGCTGCTTGGGGAAGGAGAGGTATCCCACGGCTATCAGAGCAATCCCGGAAGTACGGTCAAGACCCCTACCAGCACCTTACTGGGATACATCCTTCCCCCGAGTCTCCTTCAACTCCTACTCTTGCGAATCTCCACTCAAGCCAGCCAATTAAGGCAAGAATGAGGTAGGAGGGCTTGTTCCTCATCAGTGTTCACTCCAGCTAGACACGGGGACTAACCGGATTACACGGGGACTAACCGGATTATTATTATTATTATTTAGTGTGTTCCTTTCCATTCACGGGACCACAGGGTCCGGACTTTTGGAAGGCGTGCGAGGGGCCGAAACCAACTTGCAGATGCCCTTTGAACAACTTTAATAGGTATAAGTGAAAATGCACCCAAGGACAATTTCCGGGTGATGAAGGACTATTGTGAAATGTTGAAAAGAATTGTGAAATGATTTATAGGATTACCTATTTTCTTACTCAACTATTTAGGTACGAAAACGAACGAAAGTGAGTACCTATCACTATCATAAGTTAGGCCTCAAGAGAGGAATTCATATAGAAGCAATTTGTGTTTATTCATGATACTGATAAGAAATATTATCAATGACAAGATATAATATTACGTCCGTACATATGTAGGATAGATACCTCTACTTGTATATTGATAGGTATTACTTTATATGAGTTATAGGTATGACTATATCTAGGTTTCCAGGTAGTATCAACTGTAGCTTTGAACTACCTAGTACCACACCATCAGCCTCAGGTATATCCCCCATGACCTATATCAGCCCACTGCTGGGCACAAGTCGTGTGAGTGAAGTAACCGGAGGTCGAATCCTACCCCCGCCCATCCTGTATCTGTGAATCCCTAAAAGGCCGGCAACGCACTCGGAGTAATTCCTTTGGTATTGCGAGTATCCATGGGCGGCGCCGATTGCTTACCATCAGATAATCACCGAGCGCAAAGCCTTTTTCACACGGAAAAGGTTAAGCTTTACTTAGTAGATCAACACGTTTGCTCAAGGTGAATTACACATTTCAAACTTATATTTAGAAATCAAGAGTTCAGGTTTCTTCAAGATGTTTTCCGTCGACGTAGGTAGGTACCTATAAAATACACATACCTCAGGAAAAGTTACATTTGCACAAACTTGCCTGGTTTCGAAAAGCACGTAAAGAAAGTTTATGCCACTGAGAACACCTAAACGGCTGAACCGATTCCAAATAAAGTTCTGTTGTAGCGTTCAGAGGTGTATTATTAAAAACTTATTATTAAAACCGTTAGATGGCGTTAGGATATCATCAGAGGAGAACGGATATTGGCGAATTTGATAATTAAAGGTATAATTCTTGGCTTAGGTACGGTCATAGAGAAATTAATCAGATACTCCAGATAAGTAGGTACCTAGGTACTTCTCTGAAGTAGGTACCTAATATTCAAGTAATATTGAAGCTTATTAAATGAATGACACGCGAACGTTCACAAATATGTTTTAATAGGACCTTGACCTTGTCAAAACGCTGATTACGGCCACTTCCTCGATGTCGCACACACCCATAGCATTAAAACATCACTTCTATTCCGTAGATTATAAGATTCATTTTCAATCTCCATAATTTACAACGTGAGTGCGATTTTATAAACAAAGACGACAAGTGAAGCAGGTATTGGGTTACCTAATAGATACCTAATTTTATGGCAGATAGGATACATTATGTAATGTTTTTTTTACCGGTTTCGTTAGTGAAAAAAGATAATGAAGGTGCTAAAAATATCTAACTAAGTACATACCTATCTAGTAGGTATCTTTATTTACTTTGGTTGCTCGCAAGAAAATGAATCATCAATCAAGATTAATCTACATAGATTGCTCTTCACGGGTAACTAAAATTGTTAAATTAAAAAATTTTTAAGTCGAAAATAATCAAAAAAGTTTGTTTTAATCAAATCCGTTGTACACTAAACTTCTTGCTTGTGACCTTATAGGAGGAGACAGGACTACAGGAGTAAGGCACTTAGGTAAGGATCTGGAGACGTGTCGATTTCGATCGCAGAGCGGCAGCCGATCTACAACCTCCATCGATACCTACCACGGTCTTAGAGAAAACCAGCAAAACAACCACAGCTTTGTGTTTCATCGTGCCCTACCCCATCTCCTCCATCCCCTATCCCTAAATCTCCGAAACCCTAATCCCCTAATGGCCAGCAACGCACTCGTAAGTCTTCTGGCGTTGCTTACCTACCATCAGATAATCAATTTGATCGTTTGACGACCTATCACTTGAAAAAGATATGCATATAGGTACCTAGTAAGGGCCACATACTTGGCGTCTTTACCTACCGCAAATAGTGATGGGTCGAGGCCGGGAACGGTGAATCCGCGTGGGCATACTTAGGCATTATAGGCACAGAAGCGACAAGGCATTGGTTATAGGTAGCCGTTAAGATTCCGTTAGCCCCACGACGAGTGTAAGTAGTCCTTGCGAATTTTCTTTACCTTACAAAAAAAGATCTAAGGAAAAGATTGAAAAGAAAATGACATGATGAAGATACAATAGCTAAATAAAATAATAGATACAATGTAACAATAACTATTGTAAGTATCTATACTAAAATTATAAAGCTGTAGAGTTCGTTTGTTTGTTTGAAAGCGCTAATCTCCGAATCTACTGGTTCGGATTGAACCATTCTTTTTATGTTTGTTAGCCCATTAATCGAGGTATTAGCCTATAGCCTACCATAGGCTATAAAACATCGAGCTGAGGGTGAAACCGCGCGAGAGCAGCTAGTATTAAATAATGCGTATTACTTAAATAATGTGATAAAGGCCAGATACCCTCCTAGGCGCCTGTTTTGTGGCTTTCCACGCAGTGACAAATTAGCACTCGCCATATCCGAGCACAGCGTACCACTTCAACCTTCTCTAGAAACACATACTTAATCGTATTATATCCAGTTTAGTAAATTTTATTACCTACTTAAACATATATTTTTTCAGTCTACTTTAAGACCCACGGTACTAAATTTCCTTACATTCAATGATGACCCTTAAACTGTACAAAAATCCAAATTCATGGATAGCTTCGTCAAAATTTAGTTAATCTTCATCCCCAAACATAAAATAAACGTTTTTTTTTAAGTATGAATGGCTTTTGTTACTCTTTCACGTAAAAACTATTAAACAGATCTGACACAGAAATAGATTATAGTTTGGAATTCTACACAGGCAACTCTTTTCTGGTAGGTACTGCGTATGAAGCGGTTGGCAGAACTGCTGAAGCTAGTAATAAAATAATTAGCTACTTGTTATTTCTTTGTCTCCAATTTTCTATTACGGGGAATAACAGACACGATATTAAATTAGGTACCTACATGTTAAGTTTATCAGGCAGTTTAAAGCAGTTTATCTCCCAAGCTAGAGAACTTTGCAAAGGTCAAAGGAATTCACAGAAGACGATAGGTCCATTAACTCCGAATTCTGAACCTTCTGAACACTGACCGGTGTGTTAGGCAGATAATTTTAACTACTTTCTACACGAGAAAGTGTGATCTCATGTTTAAGTGCCTAGGTACTGAAGAAGCCAATATAATATAATAAGATTGCTTAGTAATGTTAGCCTACTCTACAACGAGTCTCTGATACTTATTTTAATGATATGGGGACCAACAGGGCCGGTGTCCAACCTCCAGCCGGAGTTACGAATGAAAACTCAATAATGGCCATGACGATTAATTGCAGTTGTGGCAGCTCCTTACATTGGGCAGACGAAGCGAACTATCGCTAAAAGGTCCAAAGAGCATATCACAGGCGTAAAAAATCGTCAGACGAATAAATCAGCGATTGCAGAACACAGAGTTTCATCGTCCTCAAATCCTCTCCACTGATCGCCATTTCTACACAAAAGTCAATCGGAAAGAAGGAATCAAACTGTGATTGCAAAAATTCAGCATCGCATAATAAAAACAAAGGCGTTGTTTAAGTCTAGAGACACCGCCACGTCGACACGCCCCTTTGTCAATGCAGTCACCGTCGTGTGGTCCCTCTCGTGCATGATGGCATCCACCATGATCCTCTCGAACAATTTTGCCACCTCGTCGAGCAGCACGATGGGCCGATACACGTTGTAACATCCCTTAGATCCTTTGAATGATTTTTTTTTATAAATACCTACCTACACAACAAATACATGAATCAAATATCTAACTGTAAACCGTCGCAGCATCCGTCCTTGCATTTAAATTACAGTCAACAAGATCGTAGAGACCTTGACCCCTGAAGAAACAATACTGCTGCAGGTTCTTTCAAGCAGTAGATCACAGCTCATCAAGCTATACAAAACTTCTACAATAGATTGTAAACTTTAGAATAAAAGCATAAAGTTGAAAATGTGTTTTAAATTCATCAAAATGGCGTAGTTTAATGTGCCGCCCTCTCTACCAATGGGGGTCTGGTACAGGATAGGATTACGTAAAATGGGTAGGTACCTAAAGGTACCTCCCTCCATTTTTCTAATAACATTATAATGGTCATAAATAGATAACATTTAATTTATTGTAACAATCAACGATTAACGATCATATTAGATAAATAAAGAAAGACCAGAGATATTTGTACATAGGTACCTACTTTTTTAATTTTTACAGAATAAAAGACAAAATTAATAGGTAAGAATTATAAAAAAGGATTTAGGTAAGAACTCAGTCTTCACAAGCATTTAAAAAAAACTGCCGATACCGCCTTATTTCTTTCACAAATTGACATAGAGGTAGGTAGAATTTGACTTTTAATTGGGCATAGATAAATCTTTTTAATTTTGTTTTAAAAACACTAATATCACGGCTATCTTTGTTGTCACGATTGTGCAATATAGATAACTTCTAATCTAGATCTACACTAGTGTGTATATTGTGACGGATAGACGCACCCACTGACAAACAATTTACATCATTGGCCCGTGACCTTAAGGTCAGTTTTCATATTGATACTGTTAAACATGTACTGTGATGTAAGAAGGTCATATAAGATGTATTGGAGCTATTTTAATCGATCAAAGCCGAGTTCAACTGGAGTATAATAACTTGCGAATGTTACAACACGTAATTATACTTTATAAGAAACATTAACTTTTAATTGTAGTGAGTTCAATGACTTACCGTGGTCCGGCTAGTCGACGTTTTTTAATCAGTACCTAAGCGTCTGACACTCTTCCCCTCCACCCAGGGCGGGAAGTCATTTGATGATTTTCCCCCCTCAATAAAAGCTAGGTTTCACTAACAAATCATCTGAATTACTTAATAGACTAAATAAAGAACATTAAGTTACCCAGTCTCCTCTAGGCAATGCAGTTGTCAAAGCAGTTTTTCCTTGCGAATGAATTTATTCGATTTTGCGATAGGTATTGTTGTTGATTCAGTTAATTGCATTGCAGAAAGATTTTACCTAATAAAAGGAAGGACATTGTTAATATTTTAATTTTTAAGCGTGTTGTATCTATAAAGGTATTATATTTTCGTTAAGATTATGGCAATAGGTCCCCGTCGATCCGGCCCTAGGCTTGCTTACTATGTCTTCCGGCCCTGACAATAGGTACCAACCCGTTATTGATAGCGGGTGTCGGTAAGGTTCCATAAATCTGCTTCAAATAGAAAGATATCAATTTCAACTGAAAGAAACGTTTAGTTTAACCTACTTTCGTGACAGTTTCACTTACGATAGTTAAAGTTTTCTAGGGCAATGAATGGCATTGAGATGGCAAACATTAAGTTACCTAACTTCGCGTGCAATATGAAATCCTAGTAAACCTTCCAAGTTTCTGACAACTGTATTTAATTGAGATAAATGGATGACAGGCCATAAAATTATTGAGTATTTTCGGGCACCAAACTTAGTGACAGCACGCATCATTGTTTAGGAAGATAGGTATTGTTGGTGGTAAATCCTCCGCTAGCGTGACCCACATGTTGTTCCCTAAGGCGTTCAACGTATAAATCCAGGACTGGATTGCCATATTCTGGGCGACGACGGAAGCAGTTGGATGACTTTACGTCTCAAAAAAAAGACTGAACGTTTTTTAGATTATCGCCATCTGAGCCGATTCGTAGGCCGTAGGTAGGATAAAAGATAATGTTTTTTTTTTTTTTTTTTGTTTTTTTAAAAACGTTGCCCCACATTAGGATTTTCTCCTGTGTCGTGGGTGCGGTTACAAACATACAATTTCACATGCACATGACACCCAGACCCGGAACAACAATTTGTGGATCACACAAAAAGTTGGTCCGTGCGGGAATCGAACCCGCGACACGTTGCATGGCAGCCAGGTTGCCCAGCCACCGCACCAACCGTGCAGTCAATAATGAATCTGTGGTTGGTCTAGCGCTTTTTCGTCCTTGCTAAACCCGCAACAAAGTAAGATTCTAGGGATGAAATTCCAGGAAACATAAAATAGAATATAAGGGTTCTTTTACTGTTTCGCAACAGGGGGCTTTTACGTATTGTGGGCTAAATTGCTTATTCTTCGCTATACGTTTTCTAACAATGCCATTTATAAATAAAAGGAAAGCATTGTAACGAAAGAAATCTTAGTTTGAAGTCATTTTTATCGATCTGGAAATTTAAAATACTGTTTTGTTATTGCTAAAGCAACGGCAAAAATACTTAAAAAGACACTTCTTAAAAGTGGGTAGGTATAAAAATTAACAAAAAAAAAGATAGGTTTGTAGCTTAACTTACCTAGTGAATTTTATTTTATTGCAAGCAGATTAGTTCCGTGTACCTATCTGTATTTTTATTAATTCAGTAGGTTGTGGTACCAACTACCCATACTTATATACAAGATGGAAATAAAAATTTCTTAAAGTAACGACGTCATAACTTGCAAGGCTAAAATAAATGGCCGTCACGAAATACGTTTGTTTATGAATGAATCCGAATTTAGAACAATAGTAATGACATAACATTACGTGTAATCGAATAGATCTCAAATTCCCTCAGCCCTTGTCTTTAAAGTTTAAAATTGCACAACAGAAACATTATCGACCGTAGCAACTATTCTATTCATAACTGCCGAATTCCGTAACTGCTTATAAAAAAAAAAACTAGCTTTTGGCGATGTGACGTCACCATAATTCATGAGACAAAGTCCGTCATTGGCGCGTGGGTTGTTATTGGCGAAATTTAAATTACGCATTTGTTTTTACTAATTGTTGATTAGACAGTTTTAGATTTACAAATTGTATGAAGAACATGGAAGGTAGGTATGTTAAAAAGCTAATGACCTCTCGGAATAGGCCCTTCTTTCAGACGGTTTAGTTTGGATAATATTCCAACAGAACATTAAGCATTACATAATGAATAATAAAATAATGTTTTAGTTAAATCCTTTTTTATTACCTTAATAATAGGTATAAGAACCAAATATACATAATTCTTTTTATATAAATTTAGAAAAAAATATACAGAGGCAATGTTTATCTTTTCTATACATCAATTTGCTTCTAATTATATGCCAATTACATCAATAGCCCTGAATTATACACAGCATTTATTAAGATAAGACTATGGTTTTACTATTGCCAATATAAACTGTTTAATGTGGACTTATCAGAAAAAAGGTAAAACTTAATACATTTTATTTCTAGATAGTTGTAACACAAACAACTTATACTAGAAGAAAAAAAAAACAAAAAATAATAAAAATAAACAGCAGGATGTTACATTACACTGTATGGTTTACACCAAATTCAACTCTTAGCTCCGAATATTAGGCACATTTTAGGTATTTGCAAACTACACAGCAATGACGCAAAAAAAACTTAAGAAGAGTTCATCAAAAACATTAACAAAGTTCATTTATTTATAAGAGTTTGATAAAGAATATAGAAACAATGTACTTGATAAGATAGTGCTGTTTCTAAATGTAATTCATACAGCATCATACCAAATTCTTATACCAAACTAAATATTTTTTTTTCAAACATAATAGACGATTCATAATCCAATATGAGCCTAATTAATAATTTTTTTTGTTCAATTCAGAGAAGAATTTTGGCATGGTTATAAGGACGAAAATAGAACAGATAAAATTTTAACATCCTAACTGTACTTAGAGATACAATAGACATATTATGTTTAACAACTAAAATGTCTTTTATTTTAAAAACTAACAATTGATTTGTCTAATAACAGTTGGTGAGGTTCACTGGATGCAGGTTAACAGCTATAAATTACAAATGCAGACCTAGTTTCCAAATAAATGAAAATGGAGTACATGGAATGAAGTGTTAGCTGGCAGAAAGTAGTATTTCAAAGTTTTATAATTCATCAAGATAGTATACAAATGGCATTCTGAATAACTAATATTTCTTTATTCCACTCAAAAATCAAGAACAGCTGCATCTTATAATACAAATAGATTGTTTGTATGCTGTTTTATATATCTGGTTTTCATCTAAATAATACATTTTAACTTGTTAACAAATTAATCACTTACTTGTTTATCACCTTACTTATCCCAAAGGGAACGAGCTCAAACTGAGCTCCAACAGAACAAATCTTACTCCACTTCATACCTCATATTAAACTAACATTTTTTTATAACAAATATAAATGTAACACTAAGTTTTACTCAAGCCAATAACAGTACAAGTAATGTTACAAGTTACATGCCATTTTTTATGATACGAATCATAACACTCACCTATATTATAGTAAAATATCATGTGTAAAAATAAAGAAAATTATACTAATATGGAACATTAGAAAATAGGTAGGATACAGATTCTCCATTGTGTGTACGTCTCACAGCCTCCGCAAGCATCATAGACACATCAATACACTGGATTTTGGGACACTCCTGCATGTGCCTCTCCTGCGGGATTGTGTTTGTGACGACAACAGCTTCTAGGCATGCATTGTTGATCCTTGAGATAGCTGGTCCAGAGAAAATACCATGAGTCAGTATAGCATACACCTTAATGGCACCTGCTTCTATGAGTTTCTCTGCAGCATGGCAGATTGTTCCACAAGTGTCTGCCATGTCATCTACCAGGATTGCGGTCCTATCCTTTACATCACCAACAAGCACCATAGAAGCCACCTCATTAGCCTTTTTCCTCTCTTTGTGAATCAAAGCAAACTCTACATTCAATCTGTCAGCAATAGATGTGACTCTCTTGGCACCTCCAGCATCAGGAGACACTACAATACTGGTCTTCCAGTCAGGAATATTCTCCTTGATCCACTTCAAAACAGCAGGTTCAGCAAAGAGGTTATCCACAGGAATGTCGAAGAATCCTTGAATTTGCGATGCATGGAGGTCCATTGTGATAATGTGGTCGGCACCAGACACTGACAGGATGTTGGCAACAAGTTTTGCAGTAATTGGCGCTCGACTCTTGTCTTTTTTGTCCTGTCGCGCGTAAGGGAAGCACGGGATCACGGCTGTCACTCGAGATGCAGAAGCAATCTTACAGGCGTTAATCATGATCAGTAGCTCCATGAGATTGTCATTAATCTCGCCGCTACCACTCTGCACAATGTAAACATCCTCGCCACGTACAGATTCACCTATTTCCACGCATGTTTCCATGTTGCTAAACTTCTTGGTTACTACCTTTCCTAGATCGATCCCCAAGCGATCAACGATCTTTTGCGCTAGGTCTGGGTGGGAACTCCCGCTGAACACTTTGATGTTAGGCATTCTGGTAGTTAGTGGTAAGGACAGGTGATCTAATTTGTTCACTACTTCTTGGATAGTTACGGTTGATTTCATCAGCACAGTACCGATACGACCTCTCGACCGTCACTCGCGATATATGTGACGGGAATAACAAGATGAACTATTTATGTGTGTCTAATTACCGATAAGAGACACCAGCGGCAACGTGGGGACCCGCCGCGCCGTGCTGTAAATACGCACCGCACTTGACCACACCGCGTTCAGTTCGTCTGGCACGTTTTTTATTTTACTAAAATTGATTTGACCTGTCAAGAATGTCAAGAACGATGAACTGTTTATGTTAGAATTGGTGTACCAAAATATTCATAATATAATACTTAGCTATTATTTTGTGTGTAAACAGTAGAGGGAGATTTATGCAGAAACATAAATTAAATTATAAAATTGATAAAATAAAATATTACTTTTAAATATTGTTTTTTGAAGAGAATTATTAATGGCAACACACAGACCGAAAACTAGCACCTTTATCTAGAGTATTGAAACTTGTTCAACCAGTTTTTATGTTTTAATGTTGAAAAAGTAGGCAAAAAATATACCTGCAGTGCAAAAGGCGTAAAAAGAGAAACTTTAAGTTGTAGCAAGATCACTTTTTTAAATTTTAGAATGAAAAGGGTTGATTCACGCTAAAACTATTAATGGACATAGTATGGTAGACAAAATATTATATTATATTATTTAATACCAAAATATAATATTACATTAGTATTATAATTAATCGACTAAAAAATTAATCGTAAACTTGATTATGTGACATGATTGTGGCAATAAGTTTCTGACTTTTTCCGTTTCCCGCGCTGTCGTCTGTCACTCCTGTCAGCTGTGTTTTGATTGATGCAGGTGTCAAAATCATTGAAAATAACAGAAACTTGTTGTTAAATGTACAAAATCGAATAAACCTGTCGATAGACAATATTACTTAATTAAAATTTCATTGTATTATATTTTGAATCGGAAAACCGACACATATTATTGCTATAATTATTTTTTTTACTTATATTTTATAAGTAGGAGATTGGCAAAGTGGCAAAAGTAAAAGTGAATAAATCTGTTAATGGATTTTTGTAGCACTTGTACATGATGGTTGTGGTATAATTTATATATAAAGAGTGTTAGGGAGACCTCGTGCCGTGTTTGGATTCTTTAAAACACTACAAAAATGGGTGAAAAATCTGGCAACAAAACAAAAATACGTCGATGTATGGAATGGTTGCAACAACAGAATAATGAAGACACGGAGAAGTTATCATTGGGGAATAAGAATGATATACAGTTTATTATACAAACTCACGCTGCGAGGAAGAATTTTTTGCTGGCTGTGGCTGAAGATGATGCCACTGTGCCTAATGGTGTCAACGAATCTATTTTAGAACCTAAACCAGTGGTAAATAATACTTTTTTTTCAAGTGCTAAGAACCTTTATTTGCTAAAGAAAGGCTGCATTTTCTGTGAAAGAGATTTTATATTTCCAAAGCAACAGGATACCTATTTGTAGTTCTAGTAGTTTTAGTTGACTAAATTACCAGTAAATAGCTCATAATCTTATTCATCTTTGATCACCTGTTTATAGAAAGGTATATGTTGCATGCATTCAAATATTATTTTCAAGACTTAAAGACATTTTACATAAACAGAACATGAATAAACTTATGTTAAAGAGTTCAGAGTGTTAGAGAGGGAACAGTTAACTTTATCATTTTATTACCTATTCTAAATTTCCAGAACCGTTACAGACTGCGTGACACCAACTTGCAAATGGAATGTGAATGGCCGTCATGTAAGAAGATATTCACGGACTATGAGGTATATCAGAAACATGTTAGGAAGCACGCTACAGATATGCATGTTATTGAAAAACAATCCAGTGGTAAGTTTTATAATATAATTAACAACAACAACTAGTAACAGACTTAGTAGTCTGTCAGTCAGTTATTCAAAAAAGCTAGGTGCTCAATCAAAATTGTAGATTCGAATGGAGAAGAATGAGCAAGAAACTCCATTGTAATTCTTTTTTTAAATAATATTTGTTTAACAGGTTCTATTTTGATGTTTCAAATATACCCATTTATGATTAAGTCAAAATAAATGATTTTGACTATGATATTTTACAAATATTTTAGTAATATGATAAAGCTGAAGGGTTTGTCTGTTTGAATGCACTAATATCCAGAAATACTGGCCATTAATCAAGGAAGGCTGCTACATCCAAGATATGTCAAAGAGCATAGGAGAAATTGTTGGGGAGTACTATAGCGTCCTTTTGTTTTATTACTAGCTACTCTCGCGCTATTTCACCCGCTGCCCGGCTCCATTTAATCATAGCATGATGTTTTATAGCCTATAGCACTCAGGAATATTGTAGCTATCTATCAGTGAAAGAATTTTGGAAATCAACCAGCGGTTCCAAAGATTACCCCCTACATACAAACTTACAAATTTTACCTCTTCATAATATTAGTATAGATTACTTGATAGCTGACCAATGTAGAGTTCTAATGACTTTGTAGTAACTTAGAATTTTCTTCATACCCAATTAAAATTTTTAGGTTAGGTACTTCTGTGACCTTTATTAAGGAGCAGCTTTACTTTGCCATATAGAACTTTTGTCATAGCTGATATCAAATCTATACTTCTATACTTATTTCATAAAAGTGACTGACACCCCAGTTTTTGCATAGGTACTATGCTAATACTAGATTTCTGTATTATGTAATGGATGTTAATGTTATTATACTTACATATAAACATTCCTCTCTGATCGGTTTATCTATAGAAAACAGCATCAAAATATTTTGCCAATTTTAATGATTTATACATGCATAGGGATTTAGGGACAGCTGAAGTGACTTTATTTTATACTGTGTAGTGATTTCGCTATCTTGGTTAAGGGTAGGTCCGTTAAATCACTAGTGGTTGCAACAACAACGAGAAACTTTTTGGCCCCCACAGCAAAACTTTGGAATGATCTTTCGACGGCGGTATTACCGAACCGATATGACCTTTAAACCTTCAAAAACGAACGTACTACTTCTTCAAAAAAAGGCCGGCAACGCGCCTGTGACTCCTCTGGTGTCGCAGGTGTCAGGTGATCCGTCAGCTAGTTAGCCTCCTGTTCCAGAGCAAAAAAAATCTTTCTAAACATGAATTTATAGTAGAAATAGTTGTTATATAATGTTTTCAAAGTCAATCAATACCAATTTCAGCTGAATTGGTCTGCCTTTGGGATGTTTGCGGTCATACAGCATCGGACTTCAATGAAATGATTCGTCATATGAACTACCATGCTTACCATGGCAAGTTGTTGGCCATAGGTTTCAATGGAAGGACTACCCTTAAGCTGGAGCGCTGTAAGAAAGACTCAAGTAAACGCAATCAGATACCTGCGCAAATTAGTGATTATACTTGTATGTGGATTAAGTGTGATATGAAATTTACTGCGATACAGGTAACTTTTTCAATATTTTTCATATAACATACTTGTTTGGGAGTTGTATATGATCAAATGACTTCTGTTTTCCAAGGGAGGGCGACAGAGTGTCAGACGCTTACTGACTAAAAACCGCCCCCGCTCCTTCTCCTGGTGTAGGCCGCGGTGACTTATTGCGCTTGCTCGGCATACCTGGCTATGCTCTTAAGGCCTACAGGTCCATAATACATCACGTTTTTTAAACGCGCGTTTGTAGCGATACAGACGCTAAACGCATGCTAGTCAGATGTAGCCTGCCTTTCCCGGGGTTGCTGGTACAAGCATACCAATGTATAGTGCCCTAGCCCTCGAGCGGGAGTAGGAAGAATGGGGTGGTTTATAGTCAGTAAGAGTCTGCCATTCTTTCTCGCCCCACACTGAGAGAAGGCATTTGATGATTTTCACCCCTCAAACAAAAAAGCTTTTACTGAAAGCCTTACTTCGTTTAAATTAAATATAAGAAATCATATTTTTCGAGGGCATTGCTAAACCTTTTTTTAGTTTAATATCTCATATTATATTTCTTTATAACTAGTTTTTGTTATACTATAAGGTTAATTCATCAAACCCCAAGCGAACGACGGCGTTTGCGCACCTATTATTCTTTTTTTGTGTCTTGAATTATAGAAAGCTTCATCACATATCATCACCAGCCTATCAGTGCCCACTGCTGAGCAAAGGCCTCTTCTCACACGGATAAGGTTTGAACAGTAATCACCACGCTTGCTCAAGGCGGAATGGCGATTAATTGACAAACCTATAATTAGAAAGTCTAGATTTCCTCACGATGTTTTCCTTCGCCGTATGTCAGTGGTATCTAAATAATCATCGAAAATACAAAAATTCGATCGAAAGGTACTTGCTAGGTTTCGAACTCAGGTTTGAGGGTGCCTTATGCATGAGAGACGGGCGCTACGATATTGAAAGATTAAATTGTTATTATTAAACTGAATAATTTGACTTTATATTCCAGACATTCATAGACCACGTAAATCTTCATGCAAGTTACTCGGAAGACCACTTGTGTTCGTGGGCTGGTTGTGGCGCGAAGTTTCCTAGGAGGTCTTTACTAATGGCTCATGTGAGGAGTCACACAGGGGAGCGCTTAATTGCCTGCTACCACTGCGGACACCACTTCGCTAATAATCGGAAGCTTTCTGATCATTTAAGAAGACAGGTATGTCTGTCTGCTGTTTTATTTTTCAAAAATAGATAGTAGATATCTCTTATTATTATTTTTCTTTCTTTCTTTCTTTCTTTCTTTATCTTTTAATTAATGTATTGAAAAATTAAAATTGTTGCCAGGCTCAAAATATAGATGAAGACATTTTTTTTTGTTACTCTAGTTGGCAATTTATTGTTTGGTCCGCAATGGACGTTAATCGTAGGTTGAATTTGATCACTATAAAAATGAGTTAAGGTTTATTTTTCATTGTTTAATATCATCAATTATCGCGATAATTAATAGATTTGCAGAACATACAGTATATTTAACAACCACACTTTTTTCAACCATATGTCTCTGTAATAAAGTTACTAATTGGTTAAAATACTTCTATTTCAGAATGTAAGCCAGAATTCTATATTTATATGTGAGCTATGTGGTACTAGATGTGCTACGGAGTATTTACTAGCAGAACATACAAGGGGTCATATATCCATATATGCCTGTACTCTCTGCGATATGTCGGCCACATCACCCGCAGCGCTCGCCAACCATGTACGCTACCGCCATCTGTCGGGGAAGGACACCAGAACCCACGCGTGTCCCCATTGTCCTTATAAGTAAGTTTATCTAACATATCCTGAATAACTTGACTTGTTGTACTTTAGGTCATGTAATAAATAATTGTTTAATGTAAGAGAGCTATACTTCGACATAAATGGGGAAAACATGCGTGAAACAACCACAGCGTTGTGTTTCGCAGTACGAGCGCGAGGTTACTGGAGGCCCAACCTTCCCCTTCCCCTTCCCCAATCCCAAAATCTCCAAATCCTTAATCCCCAAAAGTCAACAATGCACTCTCCCTCCGTTGTTGCGGGTGTCCATGGGCGGCGCTGATTGCTTACCATCAGGAGGTACTACGAGAGCATTGCCGGGCTCTCGTGGGTTGTAAGGTATTTATGGATAAGGGATTGGGGGAGAGGATTGAGCAACCCGTAACCTCACTCCTGAAGTAGGTATTAGTTAAATATTATAGTTTTAAGAGTTATTTATTCCAAAATATTAATGTTAATAACATCTCCACAGAGCAATAACAAGATGGGATCTCCGTCAGCATATAAAGACACATAAGAAGAAAAAGAAAAAGGTTAAATCAAAGAAGATTAAATCCGAAGCAAGTTCGGATAAAGAAATTTCGTCTGACAAAGAAGAATCGTCAGACAGAGATGGGGATTCCGAGTCAGATTCAGACAGTAAGAAAAGGAAAGTTAGCAGATCAGCGAGGAAGTATGTATGTCATATGTGTTCAGAAAAAGATATGAAAATATTTACAAGAGGGAACTCTTTAACGACGCATTTGGTGAAGGAACACGGTGCACAATGGTCCTTTGGACATAGCAGATTTAGGTAAGGCTCTATAATAATTGTGTTTTCTTTATGGGATAACAACGGAAAAGGAGCAGACGTATTACCTGATGGTAAGCAATCGGCGCCGCTCATGGACACCATCTATACAAAAGGAGTTGCGAGTGCGTTGCCGGCCTTTTGTGGATGCAGATATTTAAGGATTGGGAAAGGATAGCGAAGGGGGAGGATTGGTGATACACATAGGCTTTGCTTTTTATCAACATATATAGATTATAATCTGGAATAATCCATAGTTACGTAGGTTTCCTTATATTCTGGGGATATGGGTGAATTAGCTGACAGAAACTACTTAGTTAGTATAAAGTGGAGTGGGAGAGCAAAGCTTCAACACGAATGGGTCAGCTCGATCGGACTGATACCACGGCCTCACAGAAAACCGGCGTGAAACAACCCACAGCGTTGTGTTTCACCGTGTGAGTGAGGTTACCGGAGGCCCAATCCCTCCCCTTCCCCTTCCATATCCGCAACCCCATACCCCAAAAGGTCGGCAACGCAGTCGTAACTTCTTTGGTGTTGCGGGTGTCCATGGGCGGCGCCGATTGCTTACCATCAGGTAATCCAGATAAAAAAAAACCTAGTACTTAGCTCCTTATGTTAACGTTATTTTCAGATACCAATTATGCGAGGACGGCATGTACAGGCTAACAACTACACGATACGAGTCTTTAGAAGTATCAAAAAAGATTATGGATGGATACACGAGTCCGAAGAAAATTGTCCTAGCCAACATGAACTTTAAGTTGAAGCAAGTAGCCGACGCTACGGCAACCACACCGAAAAGTTTCGAGATCACATTGAAGAATGATGATATTAAAACTGATGATGAAATGGAAGTTGACACAAAACCTATCCCTGATGATAATGTGGAGATAACAATGTATGATGTAGATGAACATGGTAACATCATCAGCACTGAGCTGATCAATTCCGTTATACCCAAGCTGGAGAAGGAGGTTTGATACTGTATTATACTTTGTATATTATGTTTTTGCCATTTTAAATTAATTATGTTTAAAAATTTATTAAAGTAATTGTTTGACGAGGCAATTCGACAAATTTCAAGCCACTCCTAGAGCTGATATTACTCGGGTTGTGTGTCGCTCGATAAATATGAGCCCCAGCGTGACTTGTAACTAGACGAGCTTACTCGTCAGACAGTTACGAGTATAAGTAGTAATTTAATGTTTATTATTATTTATTGTATTTGTCTTTTTTTAAATAGTATCTATCGTGAGACTTCTAAATGTATTGAAAATAATAACTTACTCACGGGAATTAACTGAGAAAAACTCTAGTTTGCTCTTTTAGAATTTGCCTTATAGCTATGTTGTATGATATGTTGATAGGAATTGCAATAATTGATATTTGTAACGATATGCTTTCCTTATGACTATGTCTGAGGCGTTGCGGGGTAAGCGTAATGAGGCACCGCGGCCTCGGCCCAAAGCAGGAGAAGGAACGGGGGGTTTTAAGTTAATAAGAGTATGATACTCTCTCTCGCCTTACCCTGGACGGGAGAAGTCATTTGATGATTTTCCCCTGACAAAAAAAGACTATGTCTGATGGAAGTTGAGTAGTACAGGGACTAATTTGGGTCGATGGGCCCCCAGTGGTAACAGTTTAGGGGCCCACAAAGTAAATTAAACTGGAACTGTAAATCTTGTTTGAACATCCATAATTATAAAGATTGGTTCTGTACTTAGTATTTTTTATGTAAATTAAGCATATCGCACTTCATTTGATTCTATTAATGATAGAATTTTATGTTGTGTTTAGTCAGACATTCTATTAATACGTTTACGTGTCGTTGGTGCGTTCACAAACATACAATTTTACAAACACATCACATCCAGACCCGGAACAACAATTTGTGGATCACGCAGAGTTGTTTCGTGCGGGTATCGGACCCATGACACGTTGGGCGTCAGCCAGTTGCCCAGTCACCGCGCCAACTGTGCAGTCTATGTATATTGTATATGTAGTCAATAATCATCACATTATAAAACAAAATGAATAACGAAGCGGGCGCCTTAACCTCCGGGCCACCACGACACTTATCCTTTTGCCTGTTGCACAATATGTGTACGAGTCCTAAATTTATGGAACTAAAGTATTGTTCCTGTATATTCAAGAAAATGGTATTGTGTAAATGAGCCTCAATGCTCATTGCCTTAGTCGAGGTCAAGGTGCGGAGCGAGAGGAACTGGGAAGCGTTCTCCTCTTTCTGCGAAGCAGTTATGCTCACAGAGGCAGACCGCGTGAGAGAGTTATCTTCCTCCTCATGCCCCAGCCGCCGCAGTAGGCGACACTCGTCGGTGATCAAGAGACCATCTCCGACAGGTCGGTCACCGCGGCCTTAGCCAAGAGCAGGAGAAGGAACGGGAGAGTTTTAGTCAGTAAGAGTCTGACACTCACTCCCGCCTAACCCTGGGCGGGAGAAGTCATTCGATGATTTTCCCCTCACAAAAAAACTATTTAATTATTTATATAAATGTATACATACATTGGATGAATTGTGTATTTTAAGTATTGATTATATGTATATTAAGTCACTGTTTTTTATGTAGACCTCTTAGTATTTTTTTATATAAGTTTAACTTTTTGGCACTTTAGCCCCATAAGGTATTCGACAATTTGCTAATCATGTGATTATTAATTTTAATATTGAAATTATTATAAACGATTTGTACAAATCTTATAAAAGACAATGTTATGTATATTTGAATAAAAAAAAACAAAATATTTTTTCAATATTGCATTTTATTTTAACAAAAAAGCATATAAAACATTAATGTTTGCCAAGTCAATATGATATGGTCTGAAGATAATTTTGCATTTGCACTGTAACATTCTTCTCAAAAATATATATAAAAAAAACAAAATTTAAAAAATAAGGGTATGCAAAATTATCATCAGAAGACCGAAAAATATAACAATTTATTTAAATCCAAACTCCTTGAAAGTTTTGATCAATCGATCAGCCTCTCTGAATCCGGACTCTACGGCGCCATGGACGTCCCAATGTCTATGGTGTGAGGTCGCTTCTCCTGCAAAGCAAACTACAGGGAACTTGTTAGGATGGCAGAGAGGCTCTGATAGAACAATGGCACCTCCATCTTCATCAGCCTCTTCTAAGGCAACTGTACGGTAGGCGTAAGTTCCTCTTGCCAAAGGATTGCTAGCCCATTGTGTCCTAAAAAGATAAATTTATTATCAGCAGGTGCCAATTTTGTTTTTAAATTGTGCAAAAAATGAATTTATAAATAGAAAGTTAGTTCTGCACATTTGGTTTAAATTGTTTGGTATAAGAGGTTTTCTTTAAACTTTGCCCTATACTAGGTTTTTCTCCTGTGTTGTAGGTGCATTTATGCACATACCAATCACACCAAGACCTGGAATAACAATCTGTGGATCACACAAAGAGTTGTTCCGAGCGGGAATAGTTCTGCAGGACGTTGCGCAGCACCCAGTTGCCCAACTACCGCATCAACCGCGCAGTCAAAAGGCGACAAAAGGGAGCAACTTGACATAAAAACAGAAATTGGAAGGCTAAAATTAAATGTAAGGACAGTCTTACCTTAAAATTTCCTTAATGGGCGAAACATTGAATTGTTTCTTTACAACAACATCCAACAACTTCTGGATGCCAGCGCGGACTTCTTCAACGCTCAATTTCTCCATCTGCACAGCACCCTTTCCATGGATCCAAGTCAGCAGGACATTTGGATGAGAGTCGACAGTCCAGAAACCAAAGATCTCTGTGATCCACTTCTCATTTTCTGCAAATTGTGCCTTATCTTCCTCCAGCCACATTAGAGAGAACTTTGAAGGAGTATGCGGCCACCAAGGTTTCTCGTATTCTACGTAGATCTTGTCTAAGACTGTCATGGTCATGTTTTGTATTGTGTTGACTTTTGGAGATGGCAGTGGTGGATAGAATAAGGCCTCGTGTCTGCGAAAAAAACAATTTATTATTTAAGTGTGGGAGGGTCATGCTTGAATGACCATGTTGGCGTGACCACCAGCGTGAAACAACGATTTTTAAGAAGTATAATCATCAAATGACTTCTCTTCCCCAAAATAGTGGGTGGGGCGAGAGGGAGTGTCAGACTTTTACTGATTAAAAACCGGCCTGTTCCTTCTCCTGTTTCAAGCCAAACCTTGCTTAACATCAACACTGTTGGGCCCCATCTGTAGTAGTCTAACGGCTAAATAATTGGGCTCGAAAAAAATAGATGGCAACAGAATCTCAAAAAAACTTGACGTGTTTCATGACTATTTAACAAAATTTCAACTGCGTTTCATTTGTAATAAAACATCTGTTGGCAACCTATAAATAGAAGTGCAGCGGAAATATGTCCAATAAGTAAGAAGCCCGCAAACATTAAACTGTTATGACGCTCTATATTATCGAGCAGGGCCGCATTGACATGGCCCGAGGGCCCTTTTAGTATAACGGGCCTTGTATAGGCTAATCACCCTTTACTTCATTTAAATGAAAGTCAATAGTTGAGAATAACGTTAACAGGATTGAGCGAAATGTATAAGTGTGAGTGCTAACACGAATTATGAGAACGCATGGCGGTATTGATTGCTTGATTGAATAATTCGGTAAATGAATTACGATGCGCAAAAATGCCGACTTTAGTAATTGGTACGGTTGCATCGTACAGGAATCGTAATATATTGGGTTTTATGATTGACTGGCGACCCGCCCCGGCTTCGCACGGTTGCAATGCCGATACTTGATTTCCCCACTATTTAATTGATGTTATTATACATATAAACCATCGTCTTCAATCACTCTACCAATAAAAAAACCTTGTGTGCTTTTTTTTTTATTTATTTAATAGGTCGGCAAACGAACAGACGGATTACCTGATGGTAAGCAATCAGCGCCGCCCATGGACACTCGCAATGGAGGAGTTTCGAGTGCGTTGCCGACCTTTTAGGGATTAGGGATTTGGAGATTTAGGGATTTAGGAGGGATTGGGGGAGGGGAAGGATTGGGCCTCCGGTAACCTCACTCACACGGCGAAACACAACGCTGTGGTTATTTCACGCCGGTTTTCTGTGAGGCCGTGGTATCACTCCGGTGGAGCCGACCCATTCGTGCCGAAGCATGGCTCTCCCACACAAAAGATTTAAGCATATGTATGTACATAAGGGTCTAACTAGTTATGTAGAGTGATATGGTACCTATAATTGTGACGCGTTTTACTGATCAAGAGTCTTGCACTCATACCATACGCATACATATCTATCGTTAACTGTACCCAGGACCTTCCCAAAAACATAATTTTGGTAAACTCTGCCAGTTTGATTAATTCGAAATGTCCCAAGTACTATGGCGTTTAAAAATAGACAGTCTGTCCCTGTACTGACGTTAATTTCGTTTGCTTAGAAGTGTTAACTGAAATAGCGCTTTACGCCTAATGGATGATAAATCAAGAAACTGAAGGTATTTTAGTTTTAAATGTTTTACAAAGAGGTCGTTGCGTATACAACAGGAGATAATGTCCTTTAACTACCTAATGCAAAGGTCTACATGACCAATTAATACAATATATTTCAATGGATACAAGCTGATTTCTCACTTTATGTTCTTTTTTATATTAGGCATTATACGGGTAACAACTTTGCAGATGCTCTATCGTAAAAAAGTAAGTAACTTAATGCCTTGAGCCTTCTAGTTTGTTAAAAGAAACGAGTTCCTTAGTACCAATATAAGTTAATATTATTTTATTTAATGATAAATCTCACCTTTCCTGCAAAACACCAAGGGACATGGTAACAATCACACTCTTGGCTGCGTATAGGCTTCCGTCCTTGCACTTGACTTGCACCATTGGGTTGGAAGGATCAATGCCAAGCTGGGTAACTCCCCACCGAATGTTTTCCACTTCCTTGTTGAAGAGAATCTGTAAAGGAACCTCCTTGGAAGGATCCGGGTATCTGTTCTGGAAAGATGAATAAAGGTTCGCATTATTGTTCAAAATACGTCGTAAGTCTCTACCTAAGTGCGAGATTTTATCACCATTTTCCTTGGTGGAATGGACTTATTGACTAATTTAAATTTGACGTTTTAAGCCAAGGATATCTTTAGCTGATGAGATACAGTTAAGTAGTGCATATTAAAATAGATTATTTTTTCGGCATTACAACTAAACTACTAAAAATGACTTACCATCAAAACATCTAAAATGGTCTTGAAGCCCCTGCCCTTCCAGGTTAGGTAAGGATCACCCTCACTCAGCCAGAATTCCTCAAGACAGCGCAAAGACTTTCCTTGCTTCTGGTCATCTTGCCCGCCCACATGGTTGCTTCTCTCATACCATTCTATGAATGGAATTGATAACTTAGGTTCCTCCTTTAGCGTGTTATTGGTGTTAGCACTGAAATAAGAAGAATTTTATAGCGAAAAATTCAATTTCTAAAAAATATGTAGCTGGTCCTTTGGTACGGAAGTATGAAAAACGATCACGAAATTTTAATACCAAAAAGAGAACCAGAAATTGCAACAGATTATCAAAATAAAAAAAAAAAAACTAGTTCATAGCGAATATTTAGAAAAAAGACCGGTGTCAAGGTTTCACAAATATTTTCGCAATGATTAGGCGTAGATATCAGATTTTTTTTTGTTTCTTGTGAAAAATATCCTGTTTCATATTTAAAAACTGAGTAGGTAAGTCTAAAATACCAAATTTAAAAGAACTTACGCGTTTCTAACATGTTGGGAAATAGACATCTTCTTTCTCTTGTCAGCTACCTTCAGTTCGTTGTCCAGAGCCGCCAAGATCCCGCTAGCCTTGTCTTCGGGGATCAGTTCGCCGTTCGACAAGAGGTACAAGTTCGTTTCTTGTGGCGATCTGCCAAGAAGACCCAATGGGTTCGCAATTTCGAAGACCACGTTGTCTTTCTCGCCATGGCACCTGCAAGTGAGGATTCTTTGTAATCAATTGTATAGAAGTGTGTTTGTCTTGTTTTTGTTCTTCGTGCCGATCGGTTTGCTATATAAGTATTATGTAGTTTAGAATTACTTCAGATCAAACCACTCATCATCAGCTTATAAGGGCCCACTGCTGAGCAAAGGCCTCTTCTCATACGGAGAAAGTTTTAGCATAAATTACCGCTGCCACTGCTTCTGGGCCACCACGACTTTGATCAAATACGATATCAAAAATGTTATGATAAGTAGGTAGTCCTAAAACGCATAATATGAAAATTAAAATGCAACAAACCCCCTGGTGTTGCAGATGTCCCTAGGCGCTGACCGCCTACCATAAAGCGACCAGGAAGCTAGCTTGCCCAATATTTCATTTAAAAAATTACCATGCAGCTCCGATGTCAATGGGTTTCCCGCCGAACTCCACAGTCAAGATTCTCCCGCCGATTCTGTCACCTGCCTCAAGGCCAAGGACTTGCAGACCAGCGTCATGCAGCTTCCTCATCGCTGCAATGCCCGCTGCTCCGCAGCCAATCACAATAACGTCCATTATTCGCCTGGAAATAAAGATAAGAGCTAATAAGAACCCTATTGTAATATCGTAAGGAACAGATGATGGTATTGTATGATAAAAGGGATGATTATATGTTATTCGGGATTTTCATGGGCGAACTGTGTTTTGCGGGGTTTTAGGCTGCAATAATTTTGGGGCCCGTTAAATGAGTAAACTAGTGTTTCTTTACGAAATCAATTAGGTAACAAATATTGAATAAGTTCCGTGGCTCATTTTGGAAATCAACTATTTCATATTTTTACAATAAAATTTTTGATTATTTAAATATTCATAATGTATATTGGTATCGCCTGTGGTTTTTGGCGTAGTCCCTATGTATCTAGATTCGAGGCCCTAGTCTTCAGTCTAATACAGTCCTTAGGAAGAACCGCCCCTGGATATTTAGAACAGAAGCATCTAAAATCGCAACTGAATATACCCAGTGCCTTCCCATTTGGCGATTCGGTCGCTCCGGTGTTGTACTAACACTAAAGTCAGAAGTGGATTAAGAAGTTTGTTCTTTGTTTGGAATCCACCATTCACCCTTAATGTGGACATAGGTATGACAAACACGATAAAGGTTGCTGGGAGCCGCTGGAGGAAGGGCGCTTCTATCTGATTTCGGAGTCATTGTAAACAGTATGTGTGTACTTAATTAATCCTGTCATTATACGGGCACTAAAATAGATACCAAAACTTGAAATTCCGCCCTTCTTAAACGCTTTCAGTATTATTCGTTATCTTTGTTTATATGCTCCTATAATAGTTAGGTACCTACCTATTTCTTAATTTAAATTTATTTGCATGGAATTCACTTATTTACATAAGTACAAGTATATATCATATTAGGTAGCTCAATAAGTAAATAAACTCTTCGATTTTGGCTTGATCTTTGCAAGGTCATGATACATTCAGATAACATGAAGTTAACCTAAAAATACTGCAAACAACTTAGGATTTTTCAAATAAGTAAATAAATTAAGAAGTTGAAGTTTACTTTTCATGAATTGCTACAAACTATTTTTAAATTGAAACAGAATTGTCAACTACCTATATAAAATACCTAACAAACCGAAAACAAACATTTATCAGCCTAAAAAGCCGAAAACCGTACAAAGTCAGCAACATTAAAAAACAATTTTAAAACGAAAACTTGTGCACACGCATTCTATTCAAAGTTTAAATTCAAAATCACGTTTATTATATCAAAAAATAAATATCATTCCATTTTTAAATTAAACATAATACTTACGTCACTTTTGCGAATTTATAAATTCTCTTGTCTATAACACAACACAGCTAGTTATAAACTAAAGATTCATCTGTTTATTCATTCGATATCTCATGTTATTTTATTACACAGTATTACGTAACAATCGTTGGATCACGATCTTACGCGACACGTTATCAATTTTTTGTCAATAGCTATGTTTATATGACTGAATGAGTATGCATTTAATTAAATGTAATAGGTACCTAATTTGCATCTAATTTGGTATAAATGTTGGAATTTATTAGTTTTACGTGTAGGTAACGAGTTTTTCTTGTTTCAGTATGTGTAGCAAGCGGGTAAAATCGGATTTTTCGGTTAGGTTCAGCTTAGTTTTTTCATTTTGAAGTTGTTATTAGTCCTAAAAATATATGTAGCTATATATAATTGTTACTTAAAATCATTATCTGAATGATAACTGAATATTAATAATTGATTTTATAAGTTACGATTCCACGGTTTCTCTGAATAAGTAAGCAAGAGAGTAAGTGATTATATAGAATTTATTTATCCTTATTTCATGCTACCATTATGACACATACCTAGTAGAAAAAACTCATTTGGATCATGCCAAAAATACATTGATTTTAAGACAACTTACCTTGTCCCCTTCCCCTTTATAGATAGGTATTGATGGTCCACAACTACACAATTCCTATTTAATTATTAAGCAGGCAGGTTCTAGTTGTATATAACAGAGCATGGTAGAGCGACTGCTAACAGGATCAGCGGCATTCTTAGACCCATCCCTGTGACACGCGATCGACTGGTAGGCTAACCATGTTTTGTGTTGTTCATACGGATAGTATTGTGGGAAATAAATATAGGGACTTAAAGATTAATCTGTATTCTATCTGGATCAAAAATCAATGAATGTAAAACTTTTTTGAAACGTCTCGAAGTAAGACAGAACCTTCCTCAAAAAAGTACCTAATCATACTGATAATCGAAAGTTGGTCCTTAGGTACGAAATTGGATTTCTATATATAAATAAGTAGTTTGTTACAAATTCTTTACTTAGCCTTAAACATGGCTTAAACGTCCTAAAAATTTGCTAAGAGCATTATGAATTTTATCCAGCTTATCTTAAGGAACCCTAGATAACTGATGGTTCCAATACAAAAGATGCAAGTTTTTGCTTGACGAGCGGACAACGTCCTCTGTAGCTTATGTAACGTGTTACTACAACAACATTAGTCGTTACTTTCCTGGAACTATAGCCAGTAAATAGACAAGTAACGACATAGGTAATGATATAATTGAATCAATGGCTTGAAAGTAGCTATTAATTGTTACTAACATTAAGGACCTAAAGTGTGTTTTGGTCTTTATCGTAGCCGTCAGTTGACTTAAATACATATTTATTATTAAATATATCCTAGTAAATATGCTACGAAATAATAGTCTTCCGCACCACTATTCGTATGTGTTAAAAGAGAAAATTATCAAAAGCATCGAAGGGCAATTAAAGGACCAAATTTTGTGAGATACTAATAATACATACAGATATAAATTCAAAAAGGTTTTTAATAAATCTTTGTTAAACAACCATTGAATTGAAAATTAACTGACAATTTTATTATCATGAAAATATATTTTTAAGAAAACCAACAATCAGATTAATATTCATATGTCCTCACGAAAGGTTACCGGTACCTAATACTTACCGGTCGGTTTTTATAGGTACTTACCGAATTGTTATTCCCGTTCACAAAAAATCACGCTCTAACTTCCCAAAAGTTTCAATTAAAACTAACCTTTCTCAGACCACTTTTGAAGTTCAAAATTGAGAAGAAAAAGAACACTCACTTGAATTAATCTGATTACTTGAAACTCCTAGCTAAGCACAATCACATTTGACACTGCGAAGTGATCAAATAACAATGTTCAACCAACCGACGCACAATAGATTTGACCTTGAAACCATAGCAGTTTTTATATAAAGACTAACTTCAGGCGAGAGGTGATTTTAAATAGGTTACTAGGACTGCCGAAATGGTCCTTATCGCCAACGGAATTGAGATCAAAGTACTACCTCGAGGTCGGTGGTCCTTTTATCTTATATTGAGGTCTGCTTTTGTTAAACTGATAAAAAGTGAAATTGAATAATATTTCCGCGTATTTTGCGGGGTAAAAATTGAATCAAACTATTCTTTTCACACTTACACCCGGTTTCTGAAAGGCTTGTCAACGCTAAAATTAACAAATCTCCTGTTAAATCTATTGTCAAGTCATCTGATTGGTTGTTGATAATTCAGTCAGCCAATCAGATGACTTGACAAGAGATTAAATTGATTTTAACATTGATCGGCCTATCGGAAACCGGGGGTATAGCTGCTACTCTTTTGAAGTAACTGATTGAAAAAAGTTTTTTAACTAAATTAGCTCATGAAGGTTATATGGAGATCTTATTAAATCGATGTATGAATTTACTTACGGCGTATCTTAGCGAGGTATAGTATTGTTAGTTATTCTTGATGTAAATCTTTAGTTACTAGGACTTCTATCGACTTCCGCTCGATCACCTCGACCTATGGTTGCATTTAATGAAATCTTTGATTGACGATCGAAGCTACATTTCCATTTACTGTATTAACTGTACACAAATTATACGAGTCGAAAACAAAAAGTAATAATCTAAAAGTTACTCCTTGCTCATACTCATACACATTAAAGTTAACAAAACATTACGCATCATATGCCTTTACTGTTATTATTACATACAAAAGACTTAAATACGTATTATAATGATTGATACTGAGCTGGACTGATCGTCTTACTCTTACTTAAGTTGCAAAAAACAAACATTAGAAACTCGATATTTTGTTATTGCAAGTTTTATGAATGAAATTTTACACATAGTTCCAGGTAAGGCGAATTTAAAATGAAAACGGTTGCGTAATGCATGTTCATTTGTTATTATGTATTTATGGAACATTTGAATAGGTAGTAGTAAAAAATTTTGGCTATAAAAAGTTGGTCCTTTTTGTATCAAAGGACCACGTTTTTTATTTTAACAAATATTATGCTTAAAATGTAGTGAATTTACTTCTCATACGCCTTACGTATAAATATTTGCAAATATTTGGAATTTCGATGCTAAAGACCAGTATCAAGGACTTGTAAGATTGCCAGTAACAGTATACTTCTGTGGTGAGGATACATCGACTGGTGCACATAATATTTTAATATCCCGTTACCCTATTGTCGTCTGCGGTCTGAACAGAGCTTCTTTCCCACAGTGCGATATTATGGCGTTTTATAACGTCTTTAAAAGGATTTGAAAATTATGATTTACAAGGTAGTAAAATGTAACATTGGTTTGAGTTGATTTTCGATGAGATTTTTTTAAAAATAGGTATCGATGTTTGATATCGAGCTCGGAAACTATTTAGAACAATGGCACTTGTCTTTATGTTAGTATATCTTCGACGAGGATGTTTTTTGTCATGTCTTTACGATACATTCAATGGCCGCAACTTGGAACAGTGAAACTAGAAAGTCTGGTGACACGTCACCCTATTAGTCTTTGTAATATTATAAGTATCTAACAATTTTAAAATTGATATTTCACGATATATTGGTCGTTCAAGTCTGAATTTATCAAGATAGCCACCTATATATACCTGCACAAAGTTATAAGTGGGTTTAATGCAAATTAAATGTATGTCCTCGGAATAATAATGCATTCCAATCCAAAATAAGTTCGGATCTACATAATCATTATAATATGTATCAGTAATTGTGAGTCACTTTAAATTAAACCAGTTTACATCGCCTGAGAGCCAAAACAAATAGATATTTTTTTTTTGTGAGGGGAAAATCATCAAATGAGCCAGCCAAGGGCCGGGCGGGAGGGAATGTCAGACTCTTACTGACTAAAAACCCTCCCGTTCCTTCTGTGCCGGTGCCTTATTGGGCTTACCCCGTACGTAACCCCGGCTGAAAAACAAATATATTGGAGTTTAGAAGAAGAATAAAGAATATTTACTTGCTCGTATCATGCTGTACAAAATTATTGAAAAGGACCATGGAGTTTGAAACTATGTAGTTTTCATCGTCAGAGAGCCAAAATGAATATAGGTATTGAAGTATGAAAAAAAGTTACCTTTCTCGTGTGAAAACTGACTGATTGTTAAAAACTGATAAATTGAAAATGAGTGGTCATGAAACCATTCTTGGTGGCGTTTCTCCATAGTTTAGGACGGGCATTTCATTTTCAAATGCCTTAAATATTGTGCGTTGTCCATGACAATATTTTTTTTGTTCATTTTTAACGTTATTTTTATAATGCTTCGCGCCATTTGTAACCGTTTTCCTGTTGCGTCGCAAGCGCAAGTCTTGGAAGGCGCTGTGCAGGCGCTAGATATTTTTTGTTATAATTTGATACATGTACACCTGCACGACAGGTGTGCACGTGCCATGGGTGGGCTCGGAAGGAACCAGGTTCCTTGCCGGTAACTACAAATAACGTATTTTTGTAAGATTTCTTTTAAAACGGATCATTGAATGAGGCGTATCCTAGGACCAATATTATATAAACAAATATTCTGAGTTATTAGACTGTAGAAGTTTTTAGCTAAATCCTCGAAAAATATGAATTCATATTATATTGTTTAAGATCTATGGCAAATGACCATTAGAAGAAGCAACGGCTGGTACCTAATGACAAAAATTACATAGTTATAATTATACGTGGAGTTACCACTGCTACTATCAAACATAAAAAATAGTATAAAATAGATTATTCCGGAGTCTAGAAGCCATAACAGTCTTTATATAAAGAATAACTTTAGACTAGAGGTGATTTTAAATAGGTTACTAAGACTACCAAAATGGTTCTTAGCACCCACTAAATTGAGATCAAAGTACTACCTCAAGATCGGTGGTTCTTTTATCTTTTATCGAAGTTCGCTTTTGTCAAACTTATAAAAAAAGCATATATACGGTCGAATTGAGAACCTCCTCCTTTTTTTGGAAGTCGGTTAAAAACGACTGGTCCTTTTGTTGTTAACATTAAATAACAACAAAAGGACCAGTATATCCAGCAATTTATTAGTCTAAAAAGATAGTTTCGCACAATACATCAATTTGCAACCATTATAACAATTAATTAATTACTACACCTGAATAGCAAATGTCATCCAATTCTAGTTTCAAACAACAAATGTCATGCAAATGTCAGTCGGTTTAAATATAATTACTTGGTTTTAATTGCAATGTTACTGTGGTTCTTAAACTAATTACGTCTGAAGATGACGGTCTATGATAAGAGCTTGTATTAGTGGAAAATTACCATCTTCCTGTGTATTGTTGTTGATCCGCCCATGGATACCCACAACAACAAAAAAGTTACGTGTGCGTTGCCGACCTTTTAAGAATTAGTGTTTTGGGTATTTAGGGATTGGGGGAGGGTAAGTTGAGCCTCCAGTAACCTCACACATATTTAGAATTGGGAGCTCCGAAATTGAAAACATATCTTAGTGGTATTGTTTACAATTATCTACATAACCTTTCAAAGAAGGCATTATTAAAAGAAAAATGGCATAATTCGACAAACCAGTATTGGTGGTAATTAAGCAATCAGCGTCGCCCATGCAAGGAATATTAAGTGCGTAGAGAGAGAGAGATTTGTGGATGGCAGAATTGGGGGTTTGGGATCAGAAACGGAGGTAAAGGAGTGAACCTCCTGAGGTTCAGTCAAACGACGACACATATCACACGCGTTGCTTCACGCCGGTTTCATGTGAGGCCGTGATATCACTTCGACCAAGCCCATTAGTGCCGAAGCATGGCTCTCCGACAGTTAATCATAGTATAAAATACTCATTTAACAATAGATATTTTTGCATAACTATCTCATTTTACCACAGCCACCAACTATCTAAGGAAATATTTCGCTAAAAGCTTTCATTTAGTTTAGAGTTCATTGACTCCCGTCTGAGTTGTTATCATAAAATTGTCCATTATGCGTTGATTTCCTGTTTCTTACATAAGGCCGATATCACATCGAAGTATCAATTTTGAATTTTGATTAAGGAAAATATTCGACCCATAATCATCATTTATAGGTGTTGGTTAAAAGTGGGATTGATAAAGATTTAAAATGGCCACCTGTATAGGCGGTCTTTTACTACTTATATTAATGGATGCGAAATAATGTGTGTTTTTCACACAATTGTGTAAAATATTATACTCAAGTATGATTTGAAATTAAATACATTTCGTGGCTCTAAATATGCATGGTTTCGTTAGATGAATTTATTTTCATTAGGTACTAGAATTTTATCGTTATATAATAAGTAGAGAACGCTCCTTGAATGTAGGCGATCTAATACTTATCGTATTTGATACTACTTAATTAGATTAATTAAATAATACAAAGAAGTCTTTTATGTCTTAATCGAGACACAAACGAAGAATGTTAACTCAAAAGACAGGAAAAAGTGGCGTTAAACAAAATAAAACTATCCAGCATTTTTAAAACAATTACCTGAAGTACTTAACAATATAACTATTGAAACCTTACAACAATACATTTTACTACTGAGCTCTCATAAAGTTGAAGGTACTACTGCAACATAAAGTTTGTTTTGTAGTTGTGACATTGAAGATGAGCGCTTGATAACTGTAAACTTGATGCCAGCAGGCAGGTAATGGGTGATGGGTGCAGCTTTTTGCGCCCTTCTTAATGCTTCCTACGTAATCACAGGTGAGTTACAAGGGCTGGCCCGAGACGCGCTAGAAATATTCTTGATTTTTGTCTGTGTTGGTATTATGTTAAGGTGTATGATGATATCGTTACGAATGTTCTCAAGTGTTTATAAAAAACAAACGAGTAACAATTTAATGAGTATTTACAACAGCAGACGTTCTATTTACAAATGAGACATTCGAAAACATCGCGTTGACAGTGACCGAATATAAACAATTTAACCTGCTCAACATTTTGTTTTGAAAACAATTTAATGCGATCAATAGGCCACCTTGTTTATCCTACTAGTTGTTAAATAGCATAATTCTATTGTCAGGGTAGGTAGTTAGCCGATGCGTTCGAGCTTTGCCTGCCGTTCTGCAGCCCTCCAGTTTGATTGACACACATACGCGCGCGCGCAGGTACGAAGCTGCTGTAGTGCCGTCAGTCGTCCCGCGCCCGTCGCCTGAGCGCCCGCGTCGTCGTTTCGTGCAATAAAACCGGCCCGAATGCCGGAGAACCAGTCGGCGGGATGGCGAGTCTCGGCGTGCTAGTAGCGCCATGTTGAAACATACGCAGCGGCCGCCAGCGGCGAACGATGCCGACCATCGCTACCAGAACATGCCGCGGCGGCCGCACCACCACCTGCCCCTCAACGTGTCAACCCTGGACTCTTCGAAGCACTCCGTCGGGGGCACCTCGGCGAGCGTCAGCCCTGGTGCACAGCCGGCGACGACTGCGGCTCCAGTGTCAGTGGTTGCCCCCATACCGGTTGCGTCTCCCCCGAAGCTCGCGAATGGCAATGCGACTGGCATCCCGCCGCCTCGGCCGTCGACCGTCAGGAACCGGAGCACGAGAGCGGCCACTGAGGAGGCCTTGACATCCCTAGCCTTGTTGTGCCTCGTCAGCCTGCTGCTGGCGCTGCTGGCACTCTTGTTTTTGCTGAAGATATCCGCGCCGGCAACTAGTGCTCCCGAGGAGTTTGCAGTGGTGTACGAAGTGACACTTGCGTTGTGTGCGTTGACGCTTTCATTGAATCTTTGCTGTTTGCTCGTGTGTGCAATACAGTTCCTCTTTGCTGTGAAATTGGTGCACTCACCTTCAGCTCCTAATGGACGGTAAGTCATTTGAACGTGTATTTTTATTTCTGTTAAGACTCAAAGGACCAGATTTTTTCCATGTGATAGAAACCTCAAGATTACCAACACAAATATTATAATCTGTTAGGTTATTACTTGCGGCATGCGTCGCCGGCTCAGTTCCGAACAGACTTATCTCAATTCAGGTTATCTCTTACACAACGGCATAACTGTAAGAAAACTTCAAGTTTTCAACTCGACTATCGGGTTTTTAAGTATTTTTCGTATAATTAATGCTATAACTGTTGATGGCAGAGAATTCTGAGGTTTACTATGGAATTCGGGAATTTGTTATTTTGTTTCGTTATTATCAGCGTATGTTTGTGTAAGGTAGACGAAGCAGGTGTTAACGGTTCGAAGTGGCGGTTATTCGTGAATGATTTGATAAAAAATGCTCTGTTCAACGGTTGTAACTGGCTCGCACGCGCCTAGACCTTTTTATGAAGTTCCTCAATCTTCATAAGTTTTAATATTGCTTTCAGTTGCGTGTGAATGTGATCCGTTAGTGTATCGAATCAATGCGTTGTACAGTTGTGTGATTAATTTGCCGAGATCGTTAGCTACTGTTATCGTTTTTTCCTCAAGACGTTGATTGCTGAACCCATCATAGCATTGTAGCGAATTCCAAATAGATTAGCTCTGAAATTGCTATGTCCGTTCCGATTAGATATCATGACTGAAATTGGGATCGATATGAAAAAAATATTGAACTGAAGCTTCTTAATTTTTTAACCTTATTTAAAGCGGGGCATAATGTAGAAACAGTGCAACTATTTAATAAAATTGATAGACTCATCCTGGTAGCTAGCTCAAAACAATTCTTTTCCAAAATAGACTAAATTTCGAGACTAAACAGTGATTTGTAAAAGAAAAGCATGTAGGACAGAGCATGCGACCCTTCGTTACGTGCTTCAACCGGTATTACTTTCCGGGTTGCTTGTATTTATACCGTGACCGCATAGCATTGGGAGCACTAGCACAGAGACAGGTCAGAAAGCGCTATTTTGATGTTTAAGATAAACATATTTTGTAAAACAGCTGTTGTACTGGAAGGACCAAAAGATGTACAGAAGGACCATGTTTTTTTAGCTGTATTATATAAATACAGACATAATTGGTGGTAATATAGAGTTTAATAGTGGCACTGATACATAATTATAATGAAAGATCGTGTCAATTAAGTGAAATATATGTTTTTTTTTCGAAAACGTATACAAATGCATCTGTGATCAGCTGTTCCTCAAATTAAAGATAATTTAATATTAGCATTCCACAATCTACAAGCATGCCTAGTATGTAATTATTGGTTAACGATGTGAAAATAATCGTCTTGTTTAATAGCTATCGCATCAGCAGTAGTAACTGTTGATGTAATCTTTGGAATACTTAAAAAAAATGTCTGCAACTAGTCGTAGGAAGCTTTGAGATTTAATCTTTATAATTCAAAAAATTACTGGATGAGAAGTAAGTATAATATTATGGCTTCTTTTAGACTTCGTCTTGTAAACTACATTATGGAAAAATATGCAACAGATTAAATCCTGATCCTGCTTTGCATGCAAAAAGTAAAGCTAGTGTTAATAACATAACGAAAGGTTTAGCTAACATATCGGTTCTAACAATCGTCATAAACCAAGCAAATAGTTTGTGTCTCGTAGGCATGCATTCAGATGACCAATCACAAGCAAACGTTCATGGTCGAAGAACAGAGGTAATATAAAAGACTTTATAATAATAAACTAAGCTCAAATATAAATAAAGCAATAAGTAGGCAAATCATTTCTCACTTGGTACATGAAACCGGTTGCAGAGGTCCCAGGTTTGACCTTTGGCAACTACAAATTGTTGAAAGCAATGCCATTAGGTCACATTGATAAAGTTAGGATCGGAGGACCAGTTTATAGATGCTCTAAACGACTAGAAACTGAAACTATACATTTCTAAAAATTCTTATAAAAAATATTTGGAAGATGAAACTTGAAAATTTTCTATTTTATTATAATAAAACTTTGACATAACATTATTATATTTCCAAAGACAATAGTCAAAAATGACGATGATGATAAAATTAATAAGTGAAAATTATTCCAAGCAGGACCTATCGATAATTTGCCTAAAAAGTGTGTTTATTGATGAATGATTTAGTACCAAAGTCAACGGACCTAAAATGCCTGTCTAATTGTCTCCAATCAATCTATCTTTATTAGTACATACGAGTACAAACCGCATCTTAAGTCTTCAAGACTGAGAAGTCTATTTTCATCGTTCTCACAGCACTAAGACAGAAAGAATTCAAATATTTCTCAAGAGCTATCGAGGTATAATTGCGCACAAACTTGTTTTCTAAGCAAGAATCGAGCTATGTCCATAATTTATAGCAAAATCAGGAGGCAGGTGCAAGCTTCCACTATGGGACTTACAATAAACGACATTATAGAATTTGCATGATACAATGCTGGTGTAAAATGGTGGTCTAATATACCATGACTTGAAATGTATGTAGTGTAAACGTAACATATTTTTTTTGTACTATGAAGCCTAACTTAATTTTGAACAAGCGTCAAAAAGAAAAGGACCTATGCCATTTTTGAACTCTTTAGTTGCCATGCCATGAACGCTAAGATGAGTGGCATATAAAAAAATCTGAACAGCGTGTTGTATTAAACTGTACCCAAAAAGTGCATTTAAAAGGTTACACCAGTTCACGACTCAGGTTAAATACAAAAATAATGTAAGGAAATTATTCTAGACACATTTTTACTATAAAACGTGATGACAATTTTGTAGTAGGATGATGCTACTGTTGAAATAAATTAGTATGAGAGAATTGTGGTCACAATTGATTTAAACTATCGTAAGTAAATGTGAGCTGTAGTTGTTTATAGTTTGTAAACATTGTTTCTACATTATACATGCGACGCGTAGTTTAGGGCATTTGCTAACGAGAAAATTTGCATTGACATTGATTGGAATGTAAAGACCGAAAGAAGATGCCTTGAGATGGGATAGTGTCCATATCTTTACTATGAATTGAAAGTAATTTCTATTTGAAATTACTTTCAATTCATAGTGGATAATATTGGTTCTGAAGAGCCCTTTGCCCTTGATATTTTCCTAAAGCCTGATTCTATAAGAACACCAGTGTAATATTGTAAAAAAATGATTAACTTGTTTCGCGTACACTGTTAAGTATCTATAATATTTTGTGGTTGTGGTGAAAGGACTATTTGTGGACAGCCTTAGTCCAGTCAGAATAATGGTCCTATAATACTCATCTACATTCTACAGTAAATAGTTAGATTTATATACATATTTGTGTTTAGAATACTTAAAACGGTAATACGTACTGATTTAATAAGTTGTTAGGACATTTACCTAAAGTAATATTATTTTTGTGTAAGAATCCGTTTCGGAAAAGAAAGAACACATCTATAACTGCCTAAAATACTACATACATGCCTAAAAAATCACCAATTTTATCAAGTTGCTAGGCAAGCTTTGAATAATAAAATGTTGTATAAGGTATAACAATAAACATAATTAGTGTTAGATAAGTGTATACTTATCTGCAAAACACAAAACTTAAATGTATGAAAAAATGAGTTAATAAAAGGACCCGCCTAAAAGGACCAAAATCTTTTCAATGAGCTTTCTCATGAGAACACTCGCACTAAAAAGTTCCTGCCTTTTGTTGAGGAATCTCGATCGTGTGAAATTGAATTCGTTTATTTTCATCTTATTCAACTTCTTGTATTATATTCCTTGGATGGCGCTGCACGATTCAAAAGCGTGTTTTGCTAATTTGATTTAAATTTAGTATTTTTTTAGGTTAATAAATGGCTATTTTAGTCATACACCATTATTATTAAATGGAACGTATCTTTGATCTAGAATTTACAATTGTTGATAGCTTAAATTACTACAAAGTTAACTAATTCTTACTCTAGAAAGTTGCGATAAAGATTTTTTCACAACGCTATTTCAATAACATTGGCTGGTTCTAACTTTATACGACTCATTATTTTTAATTAAATGTTCTTTGAGCGCTGCTCTATGCACCTGTTCTGCTGATCAACTACGAACGGACATCCGTGATGTTACACATCAAGCTTCGTGAACGAATCTCGTATGGAATTTTGAATCGTTATTCTATCCGTATGTTTCATACCCGAGGTCATTCAGGACCGGTTCTTGAAGCACCACATTCTACAAATAAAATTGAATCTTATTTTACTTTGAAAAGGTCTCATATACGTTGATCGGAATTCGCTGTAATGAATGAATTTGATTGATATATTCGATGGCAAATTAAGTGTTAGAATTAAGTCTGCTTGGTTCGCTATTCATATGTCTAGATTAATTTATTGGTGAATTCTTTTCAAATTGTAGTAATTCCTTTTATTCTGTCATCGTAGTGATTCGATTTTATTGGCCGGTCCTTTTCTGGTCCTTTTGGTTTATTATTGCTTTTCTCGATGAATCTTATCTCATCAAATTATAGACCTTGACAGTTCTTCATTAAAACCATTATTAAAGTGATTCTAGTGATATAGATAATATTATTTAATGTTCCTTGTCGATGAGAGCTCAAGAAATTTTAATGTCAGTTTCTTGCTGTAAAAATGGAATCGTTTTATTCCAATCTTCCTTATTTCATGGCTTTACTACGATGTATATTTACATTTGAGCTGTGTTCTATGTCAAGAATAGTTGCTATGGACACTAGAGTTCAGGCTTTTTGCTATTAAGGCCATTGGCCATAACGGCTTTCGATACAGTGAATAGGTATAAGTTCAAATTCTGGCAACACAAGACACTAAATCAAATGACGTGTCACAGGTTGTGGATATTGTTCCGGTTTTAGAATTGTTAAAGAATGATAAAGATTTATGTTTTCTGAGTCTAGGATGAGGATATTAGGATTAAAGCTGATAACTTAGCATGCAAACGCTTGTCATAGATCTGTATGAAACCTTTTAAGTGATTTAAGGGATGTCTTGTTTTACAAAAAGGGATGTCTTGTTTTTTTTCTCCTGAGCTGTTTGCAATCTTAAGCAATGGTAAAAATGTAAATTTTCTTCTAAACCCAGTCCCATTAAAATATAACCTATAGATATATAACCTTCTTTAAACTTCGACAAAGTCTAAAAAATAAAAAACGGGATTCCAAGGGCCGTTTGGGTCCTTGGGCAAGGCCGATTGAGCAATTATTTCCGGTCATCTACGAACTACGTTTTTTTCGACTTTCTGTGGCGAGGTAAGTTTCGAATTCTGAGTAAGATGTATCATGAGGTCTTCATCATTATTTTAATAATGTCCGGATTATTTACTTTGTGAATAGATTCATAAGCTTACTTTTCTGACACATAGAAAGGTGAATGGCAGGCAGGCAACTTATAGAATAAAAAAAGAAATGTTAATATTAGAATAAAAGGCTTATTTGTATGACACATCAAAAAGTTAAGGTACATTCTAGATACATATTAATTTTATGCTTAATATCTAACCGACGTAGATTTTCATAATTTATCAATTATTTTTGTTAGTGACTAAAGGCCCCAAAACATTCAATGAGCTGACCTAAGCTGAAGTCAGACCAAATCGATGTGATTTGTTCTCTTTCTGCAAATCGTACCGAATTAAAATTATATGAACCAGAAGATATCTGACAGACACATTTTGCACTAAAAGAAACAATATATTACCTACTTGAAATATAAACCTTGAATGATTTTACACAGTTTCAAAGAAGCCTGAAACTACGTGTCCATATCTCAAATATCAACTTACTTCCATTCAGTTATATCGCACGTTTTGTCGACATCTTGACTGTGTCATCAATAATGATTCATTACCACAGTATTATAAAGTATTATAAATATACACATACAATTCTTATAAGCTAACACGTGCTCTGTCCACCGGCACATGCTATTGTTAATGTGGACACATTTGTATAATTACTGGAACGAGCGCCAAGATAAAGGAGGTAACGAGTTGAGGACATTTTAAAGTGAGTCTTAATGATTTCTTGCTACTGTTATTTTACATAGTCTGTGAGGAAGATTTTTAGTGGTTTGTAGCTGTTAACATAAGTATAAATTATGAATTTAGAGTTAATAAAGATAACGTATAATCAAATTATTAATCAAAACCAGTAGCACTATTACGAAGATATTGAGATTAGTCTTATCTGACGTTCAGCAGTTGTGCTTATTATTATTATAAACCAACAACTGGTTTATAATAAGTGTCCTAGAGTAATTATTATTACTGTTAATAATGTTCGCCGCAATTATTAATAGAATTGACATTTAAGAATCATTTCATGTCGGCGCTGATCTCGATTTCGATTATTTTAAAGCTTTAAATTATTTAATAGTATTATTGTCTCTGTAAATCATTTCTAAGTCTAAGTGCCTATTTCAATCATTCCGTAATTGATAACCACTTTCTGCTCAATGTTTTGGACCTAAGGCAAGACCTTGAGATACACTAATCATTGTGAGTTATATTTATAACATTGTTTATTCAAATGATTGACACAAAAAAGGGCAAATATAAAAAGACTCGTAACAGTTTTCCTTTTAGAACATAAATAAAAGCAAAAATCAACATTCACGTAAAAATCCAAAGCTTAATAATATAGAACGCTTAATCGAGAACATAAAAAATTGGACATTTACCGCGACGGATGTAAGTCGACGATTCTGTTGTAGTGTTCTGCTCTAGTTATATTGAATGTGTAACCAAGCCGAGTGAATCTGTAGCTTGAGTTAGTTATGCCTTGCTGCTTGCTGTGACCAAAGTATAATTGTTGGGCCTTAGATCGTGACCACGCATTGTGAAGAGTTTTAGAGTTCGGTGACATTTCTTTGTATTTAATTTATACAGGAATGAGACAGTGACTTTTACATTAAGTTTGATGCACCTGAATATGTTGAAGATATTTGTTTTCATTTCTTGAAATAAAAGAAAAGTTTAGTCGTACTACGGGCGTGTGTCAACGTTGCATTGACACACAACATTGATTGAGCTATTTTTTTAAATAATACAATAATCCTTAGCAAGAAATAAGAATTCAAATATAAGTTGTCGTGTATTAAATTAAGTAAAAACGTCTGCTCAGTTTAGATTTAAGCTCTCGATATGTAAATTCGCTCTCGTGTATTATAATATGCTTCACATCATTGCCCTTAAACACGTTAATACTTGTCTTAACGCGTTTTCACTGAGCTTTGTGTCCATATAAGTTGCACCTGGCTCTGATAAACGCTATCTCTTTCCTGTGGAAGGATGTGTTACAATAAAATGATTCCGCCGATAGTATACCAGAACAAATTAAAGGTATTTCCGCTATGAAGAATGTTCCCTTTACCGTTGATTGGATCGTATAGGTCAATGTCTTGTGTTCTTAGAATTGAATAGCGAATCAAATTAATGGTTTTTAAGACTTTCAATACCGTTAGTTTTCTTTATGAACCCTTCAATCGATTGAAATCTTCGCCCCTGATTTTGGACTTTTCTACGATAACTTTGATTTACATTATTGACATTGATTGACATTTTACAATCAAATCTTCTTGAACAGTTTACCATTTGTCTGTTATTGAGTATCAAGATCAGTCACATGGTCAATAATTATATCTACTAATTGGTTTTTATTTAATTTGTCATTCACAATTTCCTCTATAAAAACTTGTCGTTTGTGAGGCGCCAATATATAACTCGACTTGAACGTAATAAACCTACGCTATGACCTTGATGACGACAGGTTTGTGTTGAGAGGAACATTTATGGTTATATCTGATGACGTGACTTTGCCTGGATATGTTAATTATTGGCTAGATGAAATGTCAGCAGTTTGTACTGTTGGCATAGTGACTGATCGATTGGATTGCCAGCTTAATGCTTTGAAGCTAGTATATGACCTAGAATCTTATCTGACATCAGTTAAAGGAGGTCTTGACTCAATTAAGCACTTGATGCTTTTTTCTGATCAACATTGTTACATGTAAGTAATAAAAATAAGCGATAGAAACCCGTAGAAAAGATGAGGCCTATACGACCATTATTAAATTAATAGTAGTTATTGACTACTCCTATATCCATGGTATCTTCATTGTTAGATAGTCACGATTCGTGTATAACCATGACATTATGTAATTTTACTTGCACGACATCTACTGTCTTCGATCGGTCAACCGTAGCCTCAGTAGGTGTATGAATTCTATTATCATTCTTTACAATGCCATTGGACATGTTGATAATGGGTTTTTCGATTGGAAAAAGATGTTCTTTGTAACGTATGATGTCTGGAGTTGTACCTGCTATTACAGTATCATTATGCTTGACAATACTTATGTATATGAAAGTGAAGACTAATAAAAAGTTAATGCGTTTCACAGAACACTATTCTAGCTTATCACTCGTTAAGATTGGTTTCAAAGAAGAATGACCAAAGTTAAGGAATTCGGAAGTAAAAAAATCTTTGGGTGGGCTGAGATTAAGGCTTGTTTTAATACATAGCTACGTTAAGGAACATGCTGATGGTGTAATGAATAGACATAAAGAAAATAATGAAAATAGCGATGAAATTCACTACATCTTTTTCGAATGGAATAAAAAAGAACTTAATAAATATCGTACTCTGTGAAGGAACAAAATGTTTCTCACAATTTTTTTTTTATTTGGGTGGGTTTGTTTTGATCTTTTAAATTTAAAAAGCCAATATAAGCCAAATAAAATTAATTTGAGGAAGCATTCTATTTTTGAATGTGCTGCTATAAAATAAAATTATTGCATTTTCTAATCAAACCTCTTTAGTTAGGAACGACCACAGCTATAGTCGAAAACTATCAAGATAATAAAGAAATATGTTGTTACTTTGGCTCAATATTGTACTACACATAGCTTTAAGTGTACGATCAACTTATTTTCAAGTTCGCTAGGTCACTACGCGTGGGTAAACCAGCTTGCCCACTCGCATACTCATTACACTGGGAATCCTCATAATGCTTTAGTTATTTGTGGCCATATCGGGTATTTATACTAATCGACTATATTTATTTATTACGAATCATTGTTACGATATCACATTTTTGATTAAGTGTGTAGATGATTTATTTAAGTTAGTGTGCTAGGTTTTTTTAAAGGAGAAATTATCAAATGACCACTCTTGCCCGGAGTTCTGAGTAGAATTTTGCCAACTATTTGGATTGTAAATATCTTATTGATATTGAAAATACTTAGCACAAAAATAAGTGGTGTCGCAAAAAAATCTTCTGGTTGATCTTGCAACACCGCTGTTGTAACTACAGCTTAAAAGGTTGAACTTAATAATAAACAAGGTAGTTTAATTTATAAATTACAATAACAATAATTAGGACATCGGATTTTGAAGGCCCCTATATTTGTAATATTGCAAAACAATAACTGAATTGAATCCATTGTAATTATTGAGTTTTGGAATCATTATCGAAATAATTGTGTGTTTTGGAATTAAAATCGGAACTAAAGCCTTGAAAATATTGTCGTTAAATTTTTTAAATGCGATAAAACGAAAGTATTGCAGCGCCAATAATTATGTGCCAAAGTTTACTGCAACAATTTGTGCATTGCTAATGGTTATTGAACAATTACGTAAGGAATCGTGTGAAAACGTTTAGTTTGACGTTGTTTGCGCCATTGTCCTTACAATAAGTTCATAGACAAAAATGCATAGTTTGAAAAAAACGTTATATTTGAAAATGGAAAACGCCAAACATACGCAGCGACATCTTTAAAATGTTACTGTGTTATTTTGTGTTATAAATTGTTTCTTCTTCTTCTTCTGAACTGTCTAAAATGTAAAACAAAACAGTTTTGATCACCCCCGAGTTATTTGATACCAATCATTTGTACCAGAAAGAAGCCTTATAATATCTTAAGTTGCTTCAAGTACGGCGAAAGATTAAATGAATTGATGAAATTTAATTAAATGTATTAAGAAAACGACCTGCCCCGGCATCGCAAAAGTGCAACGGTGATACTAAATTAATCAACTATTTAATGGATGTTAGGTACTTATTATACATAATAGCTTTTGCCCGAGACTTTGTTCGCGTGGAATAGTGACTTCCTATGTGCTTTCTTGAGTTCCCAATTATGTCTGCACCAAATTTCACCCAAATAGTAATTTAGGCGTGAAGAAAAGACAGATAGACAGACAGACAGAGTTACTTTCGCATTTATAATATTAGGTAATTAGTTTGGATA